GAGAACTTAACACCCTCTTCTGTCGTCTGCAGGCACTGCACAACACAGGTGCACTTACATACATGCAGACAATACACTCATACACATAAAGATAAAAATAATAAGCCGGGTGTGGTGGCGCACACCTTTAATCCCAGCACTCGGGAGGCAGAGGCAGGTGGACCGTTGTGAGTTCAAGGCCAGCCTGGTCTACATAGTGAGTTCCAGGATAGTTGGGGCTACAGGGAGACCCTGTCTCAAAAAGACCCCCCCAAAAAAGGGCAATAATAATTACTTTAACTATAGCTTTACCTGGTACCCTGGATCTTAAGAAATAGAGGAACTTTCCATTCTTGGAGTGCATGATGGCTCTCTTAATGAACTCTACCACAGACTGACAGCGATCCTCAAACTTGGGATGGCACCATAGGCTGAAGGTTCCTGAAATGGAAAATTAAGAGTAAAATTTAAAAACCTGCTTTGGTGGAATGTAGCACATCCCTATAATCCCAGCATCCATGAGTCTGAAGCAGAAAGATGAATTTGAGGGAAGACTGGATTATACAGCAAAACTCTGTCTCCAAAAAACCCCAAAGACCTGAGAGGATGGTTTGAAAAGTTTAATTTTTTTTTTTGGTCTTTTTAGGACAGGGTCTCCCTGTAGCCCCAGCTGGCCTGGAACTTGCTATGTAGACCAGGCTGGCCTCGAATTCACAGAGCTCCACCTGCCTCTGCCTCCCAAGTGCTGGGATTAAAGGTGTATGCCACCATGCCTGGCCATTTTAAAAGTTTTAATGAACATTTTATTTTTTTATGTCTATGAGTGTATCGCCTGCATGTATGTGAGTGCACCCGTGTTGTGCAATGCTGCGGAGGTCAGAAGAGGGCTTCAGATTCCCCTGGAACTGGAGTTAAGGACAGTTCATAGCTGCCATGTGGGTGCTGGGAATCGAACCTGGGTCCTCTGCAAGAGAAGTCAGTGCTCTCAACTGCCGCTGAGCCATCTCACCAGCCTCCAACAGTTTTTCTTTTCTTTTTTTTGGTCTTTTTGAGACAGGGTCTCCCTGTAGCCCAAGCTGTCCTGGAACTCACTATGTAGACCAGGCTGGCCTTGAAATCACAGAGATCCTCCTGCCTCTGCCTCCCGAGTGCTGGGATTAAAGGCGTGTGCTACCACGCCTGGCTAACAGTTTATTTTTTAAAAAATTATTTTAACCAGGTGTGGTGGCCCATGCCTTTAATTTCAGCACTTGGGAGGCAGAGACTGGTGGGTCTCTGTGAGATGGAGACCAGCCTGGTCTACATAGGCAGCCCCAGGCCAGTTGGGGCTATAGGGAGACCCTGTCTCAAAGAAAATAAAACAAAACAAAATAAAAAACAATGTAAAAATTATTTATTTTGCTGGGTGTGGTAACATATGCTTTTAATCCCAACACTCAGGAGGTAGTAATTCAAGTGGATCTCTAAGTTCCAGGCCAGTCAGAGATACATAGTGAGATTCTGTCTCAAAAAAAAAAAAAAAAATTGCTTATTTTGTGTGCATGCTATGTATATGTGTGGGTGCCTGCATGGTGCAGCACACACAGAAAACAATTTGCAAAATTTGGTTCTCTCCTTCTACTGTAAGCCCCAGAGATCAAACTCAGATTGTCAGGCTTGGCAGAAAGTGCCTTATCCACTGAGCCATCTCGTCAACCTAGATTTGAACATTTATCAGAATCTCACTTTTGCGGGGGCAGTTTGTAGGCAACCTGGATTCAAGTTCCCTGAAGCCACCAGTTCCTGAGTATCCCATAATTAATGGGAAGAGAGATGTTGCTTTAGTAAGACATAAATTAGGTATTAGCAGGGTTTTTTTTTTGTTTTTCAGGTTTTTAAAAAATATATTTTATTATTTTTATTTTATGTGTATAAGTGTATTGCCTGCATGTATATGAGTTCACCCACATCTTGCAATGCCTCAGAGGTCAGAAGAGGGCATTGGATTCCCCTGGAACCAGAGTTAAGGACAGGTTGTAGCCACCATGTGGGTGCTGGGAATCAAACCCACCTGGGTCTTCTGCAAGAACAGTCAGTGCTCTTAACCACTGAGAGTCCTGTTATTAGCAGGTTTTTATTAATAATAAATTCAATTCAGGCTGGGCATGTTGGTTCAAACCTGTAACTCCAGCACCTGGGAGGCTGAGACAGGAAGCAATGTCCTGAGTTTGAGGCCAGCCTGGACTACATAGAGAGCTCCAGGTCAGACTGAAACATATTAAGACTTTATCCTCCCCCCTACACAAAAAAAAGGGCAGGGGGCTGGAGAAACGGCTCAGTGGTTAAGAGCACTTGCTGTTCTTGTAGAGAACCTGGGTTCAGAGGGCTAGAGAGACAGCTCAATTCCCAGCACCCACATGGTAGCTAACAACTGTCTGTAACTCCAGTTCCAGGGGAATTCAATGCCCACTTCTGATTCTATGGGCATTGAATAACACAGGTGCACTTACACACATGCAGGCAATACACTCATACACATAAAATAATAATAAAAAAAAAAAAAGAACCTGGGTTCAGTCCCCAGCACCCACATGGCAGCTCAGAACCATCAATTAACTCTAGTTTTTAAGGATCCAAAGCTCTCTTCTAGCTTCTGCAGGCACTGCATGCACATGGTGTACTTACATACATTAGGGCAAAACACTCATACACATAAAATACAAAAAATAAAACTGGGTGTGGTGATGTATGCCTTTAATCCCAGCACTCAGGAGGCAGAGGCAGGCAGATCTCTGTGAGATTGAGAATAGACTGGTCTCTATAGTGAGTTCCAGGCCAGCTGGGGCTACAGGGAGATCCTGTCTCAAAAACAAAAAGAAAACAAAAATTAAAATCAGAAAAAAAAAAAGATTTTCTTTTACAGTTCTTTAAATGATATACTACCATTTATATTTTAAAAATGCTAAATATATATACTGCATAACAAAGACACACACATAAAGAACTATAAAAACTACTATAAAGAACATAAGAGTTAGCTACCATGGCAAAAGCAAGTTTAAATGATCTCAGATGATCTAAGTTTTCCAGTATTCACAGTAGAAAAATAGAAATAAGTCTTCCCTTCTTGAAAATCCCACACCCCAACATGTTGCAAGCTCCAGAGTCCCAAAGGTAAAAGGAAATCTGAACCCGTGACTTAAAAAAATAAACCACGGGGCTGGAGAGATGGCTCAGTGGTTAAGAACACTGACTGTTCTTGCAGAAGACCTGGGTTCGAATCTCAGCACCCACATGGCAGCTAACAACTGTCAGTAACTCCAGCTCCAGGAGATCTGACAGCCTCTTCTGTCCCCCAAGGGCACTGCACAACACAAGTGCACTTACCTACATGCAGGCAATACACACATACACATAAAATAAAAACAATAAATAAAATATAAAAATAAATAAACCACAACAAAAAGTTCCAAAAACTAAAACACTAAGCTCCAAAAGGACCATCCACAAAAAGGACACACAGGAAGGTCAGCCAATCACTGCAGAGAACTGTAGACTCGAGTTTCTTGAGTGATTCTTCCAGTATCACTGACAACTATGAGGACAAATGTTCCGCTGCAAACAGGCAACAGAAGTAAGGTTTCTACTAAAAACCCCATTCACTCAAGAAGAAAAGGCCCTTTAAATAAAAAGGTAATTGGAGAACTATTTGAGAGCTCTCTCTTGGCATCTCACCTACCAGGATGCTTAATGATCAAGTATTTATTCACCAACCCATAGCCTAAGTCATGTACTATTTTAATTAGGTTAAAAAAATACTTCACTCTGAAATGCTTTGTTTTGTGATTTTGGTTTTTAGGAACAGCAGGAAAATAGGTAGCAGCCTCACACCTCACCACCACCAGTACCACCAGCACCACAAGCATACAACAGATATCTAATTTAGGGCATCTTTTTTTTTATATATATATTAATTTATTATTTTTATTTCATGTGTATGCGTGTATTGCCTACATGTAGATAAGTGCACCCGTGTCATGCAAGGCCCGTGGAAGACAGAAGAGGCTGTGGGATCCCCTGGAACTGGAGTTACACACAGCTGTTAGCAGCCATGTAGGTGCTGGAATTTGAACCCGGGTCTTCTGCAAGAACAACCAGTGTTCTTAACCACTGAGCCATCTCTCCAGCCCATTTAGAGCTTCTTAAACTTAAACTTTTTCCAAACGTGATCTTTTTTTGCCTGAGAAATTTTATGTATAACCCCAGGTGTGTAAGTATATAAAATAGGTATATATGCTGGGCGTGGTGGCGCCTGCCTGTAGTCCCAGCACTTGGGAGGCAGAGGCAGGAGGATCTCTGTGAGTTCAAGGCCAGCCTGGTCTACATAGTGAGTTCCAAGACAGCTGGGGCTACAGGGAGACCTTGTCTCAAAAAGACAAAACAAAAAAAAAAAAGTATACAGATCAAATATTTACTAAAAATACATTGCAACTTCATTTTAAAACAATTCTTTGGTATACATAAAATTTTACCACTTATTAACAAAAACAGAAATCTGCATACTAAGATGGATATGCTTTTTTTTTTTTTTGTCTTTTTGAAACAGGGTCTCCCTGTAGCCCCAGCTGTCCTGGAACTCACTTATGTAGACCAGGCTGGCCTTGAACTACATGCCTCTGCCTCACAAGCGCTGGGACCACAGGCGTGCGCCACCACACCCAGCTGGGTCAGAAACCTTTAATTATTGCAATTTGTTTTGTTTTATTTCTTGAGACAGGGTCTCCCTGGAGCCCCAGCTGGCCTGGAACTCTCTATGTAGACCAGGCTGGCCTCAATCGCACAGAACTCTATCTGCCTCTGTCTCCTGACTACTGGGATCAAAGGTGTACACCACCACACCTGGCAATTATTGCCAAATATTTTCTTCTCCTTTTTTTTTTTTTGTCTTTTTGATACAGGGTCTCTCTATAGCCCCAGCTGGCCTGGAACTCGCTATATAGACCAGGATGACCTCAAACTCAGAGATCCATCTGCCTCTGCCTCCCAAGTGCTAGGATTAAAGGCATGCACCACCATGTCCATGTTGCCAAATATTTCATAACACCCATATTCAGGAATACAGCCCCACATGAAGTTGCAACCCAAAATTTAAGGAGCTGGGCTTTAAAATGGGTATGGTGGCACATGCCTGTAATCCCAGCACCAGAGGATCAAGAATTTTGTCAGTCTTGGCTATATAGCGAGTTCAAAGTAAGCCTGAGCTACATGACAGCCTGTCTCAAAACAATACAAAAACAAGGGATGAGGAGATGCTCAGTGGCTAAAGTACTTGCTGTTCAAGAGTGAAAACCTGAGTTTGGATCCTGAAAACCCATGTAAATATGTGGTAGCATATATCTTTAATAATCCCAAAACGCCTATGGCAAGACAGAAAGAAGAAACAGGAAAGTCTCCAGAAGCTTTGGGGCCAAGGAGACTAGTGTATGCAGCACCAGTGAACAAGAGATCCTGTAACAAACAAGGTAGAAAGCAAGGCAATAACCAACATTCAAGGATGTCCTCTGACCTCTACATGCACGCCATGACATGCTCATTCCTACACTCACACACATCATAACACACACACAAATTTTTTTAAAAATAGAAGAAGTCTTAGGGCTGGAGAGATGGCTCAGAGGTTAAGAACAATGGTTGTTCTTACAGAAGACCCGTGTTCAAATCCCAGTACCCACATGGCAGCTAACTATCCATAACTCTGTCCCAGGGGATCTGACAGCCTCTTCTGACCTCTGTGGGTATTGTATGATATGGGTGCACTTACCTACATGCAGGCAATACATGCATACACATAAAATAAATAAATAAATAAATAAATAAATAAATAAATAAATAAAATAAAAATAGAAGAAGCCAGGTTTGGTGGTGTATGGCTTTAATTCCAGCACTAGGGAGGCAGAGGCAAGCAGATTCTCCGTGAGATTGAGGTCACCCTGGTCTACATAGTGAGTTCCAAGCCGGTTGGGGCTACAGGGAGACCCTATCTGAAAGAGGAATGAAGAAAGGAGGGAGGGACGGAG